ATCTCCTTAGATAGAGGTATTCCATGTCTGAAAGGTAACATACCTTTCTTGGAATCCTGCATGCTGAATCTGGCCAAGACAGTATCTATGTATGAAGACTGGGATAAGCACAACATTCTCTTCTTACGATCTCTAATGAGCCTAATACCAAGAATGTGTCCTGCTTCACCTAAGTCTTTCATATCAAACTGCTTAGACAACCACACCTTTACGTCTGATAACTCCTTCTTACTGTTTCCAATAAGCAGTATGTCATCTACGTAAAGCACAAAAAACACCACCACGCTCCCACTGATTTTCTTGTAAACACAGTGCTCATCCGGACATTGAGTGAACCCGTACGACTGGATCACCTCATCAAAACCAAGATCTCGAAGCTTGCTTCAGTCCATAAATAGACCGATTAAGCTTACACACTAGATGCTCACGACCTTCAGCAATGAATCCCTCTGGTTGCTGCATATAAATGTCTTCTTGCAGGTTCCCATTAAGGAAAGCTGTCTTGACATCCATCTGCCAGACCTCATAGTCCATATGAGCGGCTACAGCCAAGAGAATCCGAATGGACTTAAGCATAGCTACTGGCGAAAAGGTCTCATCATAATCAATACCCTCGATCTGGGTATAACCTTTCGCAACAAGCCTAGCTTTAAAGGTTTGCACCTTCCATCCAATCATCTCTTTCTCTTAAAGATCCACTTACATCCAATGGGTCGTACCCCATCGGGTAGTTCTACAAGATCCCAGACCTGATTGGAGTCCATTGACCCCATTTCAGCTTTCATTGCAACATTCCATGAATCTGCATCTTTATCTTGGAGTGCCTCATCGTAAGTTCTTGGGTCCGATTCTAGGCCTCCTGGAACTGAGTCTGACGACTCTCCAAGACCTATCCATCGGTCGGGTAAATGAGAAACCCTCCCACTGCGACGAGGCACTGTCTGCACTGGTACACTCTCAGTGTGTCGTGTTGCAGTATTATGTGATGTATCTACTTGCGCACTCAGTGGGGAACCATCGATCTCACCCCTTAACTCCTCTAAGACTAGTCTACTCGCGGGCTTATGATTCATAATATAGTCTTCTTCCAAGAATCTAACGTTCGTGGAAACGATCACCTTCTGATCCTCGGGACTATAAAATAATCCACCTTTCGTTCTCTTGGGATAGCCTACGAAAACTCGTCCTTTCGAACGTTTCTCCAACTTGCCAGGTTTCTGCACTAACACGTCTGCAGGACTACCCCAAACTCGAAACTGTGAGAAACTGGGCTTGCGCCCTTTCCACATCTCATAAGGGGTAGTGTCAACTGACTTCGATGGAACCATGTTCAGAATATACGATGCCGTTTCCAATGCAAAACCCCAGAACGAATCTGGTAACCTCGAATAACTCATCATAGACCTAACCATCTCCATAAGAGTCCTATTTCTTCGCTCTGCAACCCCATTCTGCTGGGGCGTGCCGGGTGCAGTCAGTTGGGATTCAATCCCAGCTTCCGATAAGTATGTCCTGAACTCTCCAAAAAGGTATTCGCCACCTCGATCAGAACGAAGTGACTTGATACATTTACCATGAAGCTTCTCCACAACTGCCCGATACTCCTTGAATTTCTCAAAGCATTCGGACTTGCGGTGCAACAGATAAACGTACCCATATCTCGAGTAATCATCTATGAAAGACACATAGTACTCGAAACCTCCTCTAGCCTGGATCGACATAGGACCACACAAATCAGAATGAATCAATCCTAGCACTTCTTGGCTCCTATACCCCTTTGCCGTAAACGGCCTCTTGGCCATCTTACCTTCCAGGCATGATTCGCAAGTTGGATAGTGCTCTTCCAATGGACCGAGATGTCCACTGGCCACTAACTTTTGAATCCTCCTAAGGTTGATGTGTCCAAGTCTAAGGTGCCACAGATATGCTTGATTCATCTGCGAAGACTCCTTCCTCTTATTAGATGTAGTTATGACATTATTCAATTCATTATGTTGCACTGTGGGAGAGTTCGGTTTGAGAACATATAAATTGCCAACTAATGAACCACAACATATGAAACGATTTTCAAAACGAATAATAACCATGTCATCAAACGAAACTGAAAAACCATCCATAACGAGTTTAGAAACTGAAACAAGGTTCTTTCTAAAGCTAGGAACATAAAGGCAATTTCTCAAAACCAAACTACTACTATCAAACGATAAAGTAACGTCTCCCACTGCAACAGCCGCCACTTTCGTAGCATTGCCCATGTAGACTGTGATCTCTCCCTCCCTAAGTCGCTTGGTTTCCTCGAACCCCTGCAATGAATTGCAGACATGATCAGTGGCTCTAGTATCTACACACCAGGTTCTGGTAGATACAACCGCTAAACATGTTTCTACGACATTAACGAGAGAGTTACCTTTCTTGAG